AACCGGGGCTTGAAGTTCCCGGGATAAGTTGTCCCGACAGCAATAACTTTTTAGGGAGAAGAGGTAGCGATACATGCGAACTGCGTCAACAAAGCGTCAGATGACATGTCTTGCCAAAAAAAACTATTGAGATATTAGCAAAAATGGCAACAATATTACAAAAAACGATGAAACATTTGTTCAATATTTTCACATGTAGCAAATCAAACCCTTCATTTTCATTATAAAACTTCATGTTATTTGGAAATCGGAACGTTCAGCCCCGCTCTCCCCTACGGACTGTACTTATTATAGTAGTCAAAATTACAAAGCTAAAATATTTCAAATAACTCTCAGACACGTATTTTTTTTCACAGCACGCCATGCCTAATCTTAAGTAACTTTTGTATCAAGCCATGTGGGCGGCGTGTGGGACACGCATTGTTTTTCACAGCTTACCATACCTAATCTTGAATAACTTTTGTGGCAGGCCATGTGGGCGGCACGCGGGATACGCATTGTTTTTCACAGCACGCCATGCTTAATCTTAAATAACTTTTGTGGCAGGCCATATGGGCGGCGTACGGGACACGCATTGTGTCTCACAGCATGCCATGCCTATTCTTGAGGAACTTTTGTAGCAGGCCATGTGGGCGGCGTACGGGACACGCATTGTGTCTCACAGCATGCCATGCCTATTCTTGAGGAACTTTTGTAGCAGGCCATGTGGGCGGCGTGCGCGACATGCATTGTTTTTCCCAGCACGCTATGCCTAATCTTAAATAACTTTTGTGGCAGGCCATGTGGGCGGCACGTTACTTTATTACGATCTGGATCAGTTGTTTGCAGAAGAGCAAAACAATTGGCATTACATCTTCAGGTGGTATTGCTAAAACTTCATTACTAATCATTGAGAGAGCCCAGCGAGCAGTTTTAAGGGTTTCTACCTTCCGCCCTTTCCTTTATCCCACTAACCTTCTGTATAAGTCGTGTAGTAACACTAACAAAAAGACGGAAAGATATCTGCCCCAAAATTGCATCATCAAAACTTGTGTTTACTTCCAGATTTTTGTGTATTTCCTGGGCCTTTTTTTGTACAATAAACGCCAAACTGGCCATATTTCATTTTTGTTACATAAAGGTTAAGAAAATTCTCCAAGAATTTCTTCAAAATATGTCCTACGATAATACACAGAATTTATTAATTATCCCAAAATAAATGTTGTGTAATTTAAACGTAAAGGTAGATTTGCGTTTTATTGTTTAATAATTTTTTTTTGTTTATAATTTAATAACATAATTAGTACTTTTTACCTGAAATACAGGCATCTCCGGGTTCAGATATATGTGTTATATTTTACATTTATTCGCATAATTAGTCTTTAGTTATTCATTTGCACAATAAGTTATTCAATAAACAATTGGCTGTTTTCGCCGAGCGCACAACTTATATTGTCGGCCTGCTGATACAACCTTTGACAGGTCACGACTAGAAAAATTGAAAATATGTTTTGATTCCTATTTGTGCGGCCGGCGGCCCACATGGTGCTGAGAGTGTGCACTTAAAATTTAAACATTTTTGATACTTTGCCACATTTTATCTTGACTATATAGTACAGATATAGCACGCGCGGAAGCGCAGCTGCAGCGTCTCTGCCCTGAACGCGCTCGCCACTTTTGCACTCACAATTACTAGTGAACTAAAAATTACCATGGACCAAGAAATCAAGGGGATTGCTAACCGCTATACAAGACATCGTAGTCGGGTATTTAGTACCTTATGGTACACCAGATGTCGCGACGATAACCAAATTGTTATAATTAATTTGTTTTGCATTGACAAGGTGCAATTTACCTAGGCTACACACATTTCTAGTGACAACAAACAAATCAACTAGATGGCGCTTATTTCAGAAATGTTTATGGAATACTGCCGTCCACTAACTAAAAGACGGCTAATTAACAAATGGTAAATATCCATTTCAAATAGCAAAAGATAGAGCACAAAATTGTCTTTTTAAAAACAGTTCAAATTAGTTAACGTGTATCGGAACTTACCCTAACGATACATAGCTGAAATATCATTAGACAATTCCAATATTGTAAAACTGGGATATGGTTTTTTATGATGTTAGTTAGCGGCAGAATAGTGTCCGCTATTCTTTTATTTTGTTTACTATTAGCGCCATCTAACCACGAAGCGTTAACCCCTAAATAAGTTTGTAACACAATACCAATCTATTGACAAGCATATTTAAATAATTTTAACTGCCTCTGTGGCCGAACGGTTACCGTGCTGGACTGCCACGCAGAGGACCCGGGTTCGATTCTCGGGCCGGGGGAAATATTAGTATGGCCTACATTTATTTCTCTCGTGAGTTGGAGTGTAATTTGTCGGTCTATGTGTGTGTCTACATACACCAGATGTCGCGACGAGTACCAAATGTTTATAATTAATTTGTTTTACATTGACGAGCTTCAATTTAACAAAGCAGCTTTAATTTCTAGTGATAACACACAAATCAACTAGATGGCGCTTATTATATAGTGTAAGTTTAGCGCCATCTATCCATATCGCACTGCTATTACAATAGTGTTGTAACTCAAAAAATGTGAAGTTCAAGATTATACCACTTCTGAACGTAAAAATTGTTTCTCTACATGTCATAAAATTGTCATTAGAACATTGTAAGAAACTATGGGTCGTATTCCAGGACTCTACTTAATGCTCAAGTCAGGATTGGAGTATGATTTAAAGCACTAGAAATCATACTCAAGTCCTGACTTGAGCATTGAGTAGAGTTCTGGAATACGACCCTATGAAAATATATCTACTTAACCCAGAATGAGACAAACGTTTTGTGAGCTAGTTCTGGACTAAATATTCCTTACTAAACATATGAAATTATTATTTTTGACTTTTATTTTCAAATCTACTTCTGATTGGCAAATAAGAGTTGTTTAGATGCCTAATAAATGTTAAACTATATAGAAATTATAATAATCTTTCAAGGGAACGTTAATTTTTCAGCTATTCTGAATAAATTAACTTTTTGAGTTAATAACACTATTGTATTGGCAGTGCGAATATTAGCAACCGTAAAATTATATATTAGTTCGTAATTCACAATGCCATCTATTGAAAAACATATTTGTCAAAGACCATATATAACAATTTGAATAATATTAAAAGGAAAAACAAGTAATTTCCTATATTTCATATTAAATAGGAATTAATTGATCTCCACGGACATTTACATAATATAAACAACTTACAGGCCATTGGTCAGCGCCATCTAGATGTAAGACGGAATTTTGACCTTTGTAACCGACTTCCAAAAAGGAGGAGGTTCCCTATTCAACTGTATTGTTGTTGTGTCCATGTTACGCGATAACTAATTTATAAACCGATTTTGATGATTCTTTGTTTGTTGGAAAGAGGGTGCCTCAGTATTGGTCCCATTTAAATTTTAAGAAAATATTCCACCTCTAGGGGTGCCAAAGGGGATGAATCTGATTTCGCGCACATTTTCAGAGTTACGTTCTGTAGCATGGAGATCAGCAGTCCTCTTAAGTTAGTGGTCCATATAACTGAAGCGCCACGTAAAATACACGTAACGCCATCTATTAAAGTTTCTATATAATTAAAAGCTACACTGTCCTAGAAAAGTGGAATGTAGTAACTATTTAAAATTGATAGTTGTTTTATGGACGTGGCTCGCTGCTTTTTGAAACGTAGCTTTTGATAACTGTAAAAAAAAATTATGTCTAAAATAATCGTATTTTTGGTTTAAGAAAGCCACATGTCGCACAGCTATTGCAATAGCTGTTGTAACTCAAAATATGTAAATATATTCAAGATTATACTATTGCTGAACGTAAAATTTGATTCTCTTTACGTCAACAAAACCGTCGTTAAAATATTGTAAGAAACAATTAAAATAAGTCTCCTTAACTCAAAGTGAGACAAACCTTTTGCGGACTAGTTCTGGATAAAACAGTATTGATAAATAAGTTTCTAAAAAATATTAAGTTATTTTTTAACCGACCTCGAAAAAGGAGGAGGTTCTCAATTCGACTGTATGTTCTTTTTTTTTGTATGCATGTTACGCGATAACTCCGGTATTTGTGAACCGATTTTCATGATTCTTTTTTCGTTGGAAAGGGGGTACTTCCATAGTGGTCCCATTTCATTTTGAAGAAAATCATCCACCTCGAAGGGTGGCGTTCACGCATGAAGATTCATTTATAAATAGCGCCTAACTTTAATTTAGGAGAAATTATTTTAATGGTTGATTTTGCTATTTCTTCCGTTCAAGGCATTGACTTACAATTATATGGACGTCGGGTCCGCGCTAAAAAGTGTCCGAACTTATAGGGCGTTAAAATCGTATACAGAGCGTCATTCACGCTTTAGTCTTCGTTTGTTCGACTGACAGCGAAGCAAGCAAAATTAGACAGTACTGCGATGACATTACAATTTAAATTCAACGTTTTAGCTTTCTCATATTCCTTTACATGTCACTACGTTAAATAGGTTGACTTGGGACATTTTTTTCGTGGTTTTTGTATTAGACCCGTCGTCCATTATTTGTAAGTCAATGTTCAAGGCGTTTTTCTCTCAATATACTTTGAGTAGTGTCGTAGTGAGAACCATTTTTATTATCTCCAGTGTAGTCCTGTATAGTGGCGAACTAGGGGATATTTCAATAAAACTTAGCAAATAGACGCAATTCCACGTACTTTTGAGGTCGGTTTTTTTAGTACTCTGTATACTGAGATTATTACAGTTCTACTTATTCATTCATTATTTTTGTACCTCGCTGAGATTATTCCTTTTACTTGGCAATTAGGGAATTGTTTAGATGTCTGTAATAAATAAACTTTAACCGTTGTTTCCTACTTGCCAAATATACATATTTAAAAATAAAAGAGAAAAGTTTTTAGTAGCAGACAGCAGTACAGCTTCTTGTGAGAGAGTTCGTCCAGGGAAGTACTGTCACCTTGCCTATTTCTGCCGCCAAGCAGTAATGTTAGCATTACTGTGTTCCGGTTTTGAAGGGTAAGGGTGCTGGTGAAATAACAGGCACATGGGACTTGTCAACTTATGTCTCAGAGTGACAGTGCCCCTCAGATCTTAGCGATTTAAAGCTCTGAGTGGCACTGTATTGTTGTCTGAGTGGCACAGGCGTGTGCTTACCATCAGGCGCAAGATTTTTTCGTTCCGTCACTTAATATTATAAAAAAAAACCATTTCATATTTTTTTAATAAAGACTATTTTGGCCAGATCTAGCTCACATAAAGCGTGTCTCATTTTGAGTTAAGTAGTTAAGTAGATATCTTTTTTACAATATTCTAACGATGGTTCTATTGACGTGTGGAGAATCAAATTTTACGTTCAACAATGGTATAATCCTGAATTTCACATATTTTGAGTTATAACACTATTGCAGCAGTGCGATACGTTAATAGTACATTGTGTATTTAGGGCGCTCAATAAGAAATTACTAACGACAGTTTGTTTGAAGCCCGAAGCCGAACGCTGTGGGCTTTAATGACGCGAGTTTGTGAAATTTCGACCCGTCCCTGTCCGTCTTTGTGCACTACGTCCGATTCGTATCAGTTCCAATTTCTAAAATGGAGGTCCGAAATGTCACTAGGATCATTATATCACTAAGTGTATAATTGATATTCGCATTTTCTCGGATTGGAATCGGACTTAGTGCACAAGCGACATCCGAAGTGGGTTTTCTAGATTTCTATAGTCTCGGGTTCGGAACGAATACGAATACCATGCATTGCCCAAACGCGCATACGCGTGAAATATACAGAAAGCGGGTGCGGGTCGGGCGCGGGGGTGTGTTGTCGCCCAAAATCAAAGTAAAAATAATCTTTATTTCATAGGTAGAATAGAATAGAATAGAAAACATTTATTCCTTAAGTAGACAACGCAGTACACATACATTTTGTAATAATAACAATAAAAATAGTACTAACTACAAATATATGGAAGAGTACAACGCGTGTGTGCTGTGCTGCCAAGGAAACCGTGGCCCACTCAGCTTATTGTCATCTCACTTATGGTGCTACGACGCTGATTTTCAGCGGATCCGGCAACAGAACACACGTGACACGGAACATAGTAGCCGTGACAGATTGACAATTATGTCCTTAAAACGAACAGATTATTGACACAGTACAAGAAGTAATGACGTTACCACTTACATAAGATATGCGTTAAAATGTGAAATTAATTTCATAAAACATGTATAAATATTAGAGTTAGTCATTTTGTGATATTAGTTAGAAATAATATCACAAAATGAATATAAATCTAGACAGTTATGTATTTTAACAGTAGACATTATTACGTCACATATAATTAAAAATAAAATTGGTATAGTAAATAATTGAATAAAATTGACATACAAAAAACAGAACCAAACAAGGAAAAATAATAAAAAATATAAAAAGTATACAATAACAATTTATATAATACGATCATAGATGATCTCGACACATCAACAGCCATGTTGAGATTGTTGAACATTTATTAAGTAAGCCCTGAGTAGTCTTTTAAAAGTAAAAATCGACGAGGCATTCCTAATAGGTGGTGGTATGTTGTTCCAACATTTCGAGGCAGCATATCAAAAGCCGCCACGAAAGCTTGCCGTTCGGTGTCGAGGGCATACAAGGCGAAGCGCATGTCTAACGTGCATTGATGAAAACTGAAGTTTGTCATACAAGTACAAAGGTTGCTTAGTCTTAATAACCCCAAACAGCAATACAGCAAAATGTAACTGGCGACGGGCTTCCATCTTCAATAAACCTGCATCATTTAGAAAAGGCGTGACAAGCGCTCGACACGGAACGGGGAAACAATACCTGGCGCAAGCATTCTTTAACCGTTGAACAAGATTTCTAGAGCGAGCAAGCAGACATCCGCCGTATTGTGTCAGCATAGTTCAGTTTGGATAGAATCAAAGAGTCACAAAGCTTTATGCGCAAGTCTACATTGATAAAGTTTCTCACACGATATAATACCTTCAGGCGGTAAAAACAATTACGAATTGTCTCAACGATATGCCCCTCAAAGTTAAGGGAACCATCCATAAGGACGCCTAGATTTCTCACCACTGAAACTCGGCCTACGGAACTTCCCGCTATAGCTACCTGAGAGTCGTAGAACATAATGTTCTCAATTTGTCGTTTTGTACCAAGTACTAGAAACTTTGATTTGGAAGGATTGAGCACTAGATTGTTTAGTTTTGATCATTGGGCTATACTGGTGAGATCATCATTCAACTGATTAACTGCGGACTGTGTTTGAAAAGGTTTAAAAGAAATATAAAGTTGTAAGTCGTCAGCGTACAAATGGCACTTGCAGTTCTTAATGCTGTTCACTATGTCCGCAGTGTATAAAATGAAAAGGATTGGTCCGAGAATAGATCCCTGTGGCACACCTCTAGTAACGGTAGCAGCACTAGAAAGCATAGAAGAGCCATCCTCACAACGTACCTCTACCCTCTGCATGCGACCGCAGAGATAGCTGTAGAACCATTTGATAGTATTAGAGTCGAATCCATAGTAAACGAGCTTAGATAGCAGAAGCTGGATATTTACCATATCAAAAGCACCTGAGAAATCCAGTGAGGTGAGAATGGTACCCCTCCCAGCGCCTGGCGCAGCCAAAACATCATCCACCACGTCAAGCAATGCGGTTGCAGTGCTGCGATACTTCCTAAATCCTGACTGTTTCGGAGGCAAAATTCCATTAGTCTCAAGGTAGTCTGTTAGTTGCCAACACACCACCTTTTCTACGATTTTTGACAAAAACGGTAATATACTTATAGGTCGTAAGTCACTAATGTGTGAAGGAGTGTTAATTTTTAAAATAGGCCGAATGATTGCCATCTTCCACAAGTCAGGGAATTAGCATGTTTCGATAGACTTATTTACAAGGGCTGTAATGAATCCTAGAGTCTGCGGAAGAGTAAGCAACACTATGTCGCGAGAAATGTCATCCACACCACTGGCATTACTTTTGATTGACAGAATCGCCTTTGACACGGTCAGCTCCGAAACCACACGAAGTTTAAAAATTGCAGAACCGTGCCTACGAGCTGAAAAATATGTCAGATAAGACATGTCAGTATTACAAGTGGGCAAGTCAAGAGGTAAGCATTATTACTCGTGAAATCGCCATATTGATTAAATTCTTCCGTTCATTCGTAAGACTGGTTCCCCTGAGAAGAATGAGCAAGAAACTCTAGGGGTTGCTCTTTGTAAATAACATTTACAATATTTATTTATTTTTTTATTTGAAACATCAGATTGAGACTACCTCCATGAGCCAAACGGGTTACTACCACGGAGTTTTGTCATCTAAGTACGCAGAAGTTGTATAATAACCTTTAATATAAAGTTTTTGTTTCACTATAGTTTTAAACCTCGTGAAAGGCAAATTTTGTATATCAACCGGAATCTTGTTATAGAACCGTATACATTGCCCCTTAAATGATTTTTTGATTTTGTGAAGACGACTATCAAGAAAAGCTAGTTTATTTTTATTCCTCGTATTAATGTTATGTCTGTCACTATTTTTCATAAAGAAATTACTATTCCTTTTAACATAAATTACATTTTCATAAATGTACTGTGAGGCTAGTGTAAGAAAAACTTATCTCTTAAAGATACTCTGGGGCCCAGATTGTAAATTGCCCTAACCGCACGTTTCTGCAGGACAAAAATTCCATATAAATTATAGAATTTGACCCGCCACGTACCCGACTCAACTCGCACCCGACCCGCGCCCGACTCGCACTCGCTCTCTGTGTATTTCATGCTTTATAGCTTGAAATATTATTTGCATTAATAAACGCCAAAAAAGGCTTTTAACATCACACAATCGGTTCCGAAAATCATTATTAAATGTTAACACAATATATCAATTAGAAATATTTAAAAGAAAACCCTTTCCTGTAAAATTTGTTTTTAGTTGCTTGCATTAAATCAGCGATAATGGCACGATGTCTTTATTTCATAGATAGTATATATATAACTAGAAAAAGAGACGAAATGTCATTTAATTTGAAAACTATTCTGCCAAATCATTACCGTGACAACTACGCTCCGATTGGCCAGCCCGAATTCGAAACAATTGGTGGATGTCGTCTTGAATTGAAAAATTACGTATTTAATATTTAATTACCGATGAAATGTGATGCCGTTTGTTTTGTAATTAGATGTTTTGCTGTTTTTCCCACACCACCAAATGCAACAGCCCCCATTGTTATTTTTGGAATATACGCACACACTGGTCAGTTGTTGGCGCTGTACTATTTCAGCTTTCTAATTTCTGTTTTCAGCGCAAACGAGAGATATTTAAAAGTGATATAAAGCCCATTTACCAGATGAGTTGCCAGGGATGGAGGGCCCTTATTTCGTCTTTATTTCTGGTTATATACTCGATGGCAGTAAGTTAGACTTGTTTGTTTACACCCGATTCAGTTAAGATATTTTTAACGGGACGAACAAGTCGTGCGCCTGGTGGCAAGCGACACGCGTGTCCATAACAGTTGCCAGTGCCACTCAGGACTGAATTGCAAAGATCTGAGAGGCACTACCCTAATCAATCTACATTTAACCATATGAAATGTACGAAACCGACACCGTTCAGACAGGCCGCAACACTACGCGTCAGACAAATGTAAATCCGGCTTTACATTCTCACCGCAGCACCCCTTCCCGCTTCGTCTCCTGATCCCTTGCGAGATGTGCACGCGTTTCGTGCCCACGCGCCGTTTTAACGCACTGTGTGGCATATTGTTCTGATTTGTATATTAATGTAGTACAACATAACGTCTCAGGCGTCGCAACACAAACGGATCACAAAGATCTGAAGGATAGGCTAGGATAGGATCTGCCACTGCGCTCGTCACCCTGAGACATAAGTTGACAAGTCCCATGTGCTTGTGATTTCACCAGCGTCATTATACTTTAAAACTGGAAAGCAGTAATGCTCGGATTACTGCTTGGCGGCAGAAATAGGCAAGGTGGCAGTACTTTCCTGGACGAACTCTTTCACAAGAAGCTCTACTGTTACTAAATTCTTGTACATATTAGTTAATGAGCAAATGACCTCGTACTTGACAAAATATATATTTATATAGAATTTATTTGATTCGGGTGCAAACAAAACGGGGGCAAAAGAAACTTCATTCACAACATGGTTTCCAAAGTGGTCCGTACCGCCCCTCTGCCACTAACAAAAACGCTAGGCATTGACTTACAAATAAATGGACGACGGGTCTAATACAAAAACCACGAAAAAATGTCCCAAGTCAACCTATTTAAGCGAGTGACATGTAAAGGAATATGAAAGAACTAAAACGTTGAATTTAAATTGTAACGCCATCGCAGTACTGTCTAATTTTGCTTGCTTCGCTGTCAGTCGAACAAACGAAGACTAGAGCGTGAATGACGCTCTGTATACGATTTTAACGCCCTATAAGTTCGGACACTTTTTAGCGCGGACCCGACGTCCATATAATTGTAAGTCAATGCTGCTAGGTGACAAAATATTTTTTAGAGGTATAAAAAACCATAACCCACTTCTAGAACATTGAAATGATATTTCGGCTATGCATCACTAGGGTAGGTTCCGGTAAGTCGAAAAACGCTAACTAATTTGAACCGTTGAACAAAAGAGAATTTTGTGCTTTATTTTTTTCGATTAATACGGATATTTGACCATTTGTCTCTTAGCCCCGTTTTAGTCAGTGGACGCTGAAGAGTTTTAGGGCGGTAGGGGCTTCAGAAGCAATCAGGGGTCTTTGAAGCTGTCCAGGGGGTGCTACTGTATTTGAAAAAATACCTGAATGATCTATATAAACTACACTACACATAACTTATTTTCTTTGCGAAGTTTTTTTGTTAAGTTGATATAAAAAATATGTTTTCTATTATTTTTGGTAATTGTGGGCGTTGAAATTTTTTTACAAGTGAGGGGTGAGCCAAGAAGTTTGAGAACCTATGATTCACAAGGTACTTACATGGTATAACTTTCGTCAATCCATTCATGATTAGTCTTGCAACATTTCTCGTGACCGGGTTCACTCGTTGAGGTTGATCGCACCCTGAAATAAGTAAAACCGCCACACAATTAGGTTATTTAGTGTCAAACTAACATGTTAGCGTTACTAGGTCCACAAGATATTATGTAAAAAATGTTAAAAGAGAAAAAGACGTAATAAATAAAATGATATTTTCACACCCAAGAACAAAAACAGTACATAAACAATGTAAAACTAATGTCGGCAAAGGCGGCTTTAACGCTGAACGATCCCTTCCAGACAACTTTCTTTTTTATAATATTAAGCGACGGAACAGACAAGTCGTGCGCCTGGTGACACGCCTGTCCCTAATAGTTGCAGTGTTTTTTCTCATATATTATATCCTATAACATTGACTTACAAATAAATGGACGACGGATCTAATACAAAAACCACGAAAAAATATCCCAAGTCAACCTATTTAAACGTAGCGACATGTAAATGAATATGAAAAAGCTAAAACGTTGAATTTAAATTGTAATGTCATCGCAGTACTGTCTAATTTTGCTTGCTTCGCTGTCAGTCGAACTAACGAAGACTAAAGCGTGAATGACGCTCTGTATACGATTTTAACGCCCTATAAGTTCGGACACTTTTTAGCGCGGACCCGACGTCCATATAATTGTAAGTTAATGCCCTATAACATTGAAATATGAACAACTGTAAGCATAACTAGCAATAGCAATAGAAAGTGCAAACATTTTTAAGAAAACCGAGTATTTCTGACATAGATGAATGTTATTTGTTTATTTTGCTAAGTGCATTTGGTTCATTTCTTCTGATGCAAGTGCCATTTAAGCTTTTTTAAACAAACTTAAAGTATGTTTTTTATAATTTGGTTAGTGGTCGTTACTTAGTAGTAAAAATTATTCCAATTCTTTCTTATGACTAATCACAGTTGTTGCAAGACCAATGTAATTATTTACATTTTGTGGGGTCTACTGCATACTAAATAAAGTCCTGTTTGGAGTTGAAATAGCCTAAGGATCACACTTCACACATAAAATCTATTAATTAAAACACTTGATATAAAAAATAAACGTTTATAATTGTAAAGGTACACAAAGCGTTTTAAAAATACACTTTGTTTTACTAAATATAAATAATAAACCACGATTAAACATATTTATCCACGTTTTTGGATAAATATTGAGTAAAAATGGATAATTATCATGAGTATTTATCTCAATGACATTTCTCCATGACCCATCTCTAGTAAAAAATAAAAATCAAGTTGTTCTTTATAATTTTTTTAGTTTTTCCCTATGTTTTCTTAAAAATATTTGAACTTTCTAGTTCAGCTTATAGTTATTCATATTTTAATGTTTTTGGGTATAATAACCGAGAAAAAACAATGGCTACGGTAATTAGGCTGAAAACATCGAAATGGTTTCGGTAATTAGGCTAAGAACACTGAATGTGAGAATCGAAGAAGAAGAAGAAGAAGAGGCCGAAATCACCAAGATCTTTGGGGCACTGCCGCTCCACCCTTCACCCTAAGTCATAAGTTGACAAGTCCCTTGAGCCTGTAAGATGCCAGTGCTTCCCTGGACTTCCCGAAGGAATGGCCATAAATCTACAGTATGTTTGAAATGCATATCTAATAATTCTAATTATTATTAGTAAGAATTTGTTTTGTCGGAAGTTTCCTTACAATGCCGAAAAGAATAACGTTAGGAAATGAAACTATTTTTCCGGATTTAAATCGCGTATATTTGTTTTTTCAAACAAACCGACGTTTCGGGCCCTTTACAGGTCCCATGGTCACGGTTGCGCCATGGTCAAGCGATTTAAATCCGGAAAAATAGTTTCATTTTCTATGTGTAACAATCGCGAAAACCTAAGAACTCAATAGAATAACGTTATTCAAAAAATCCGGGTTAAAAACGATATCGTAAAGTAATTTTCACTTCTGTTTCTGTATTAAATTTGTTCTGATCACTGATTTTAATTATACCTACATAGAATCAAAAGGTCGGCAGGTGGTCAGGTATCCTATAGCATCGACTGTTTTTGGTGTATGTTTATAAGCAATAATTTTCACTAATTTATCGTAGAAGTCGTTAGTTAGCGTCGCACGCGTTCCAACTGTACGCACAGTTGTGCCTACTTGAGCTCAGTCCGCCATTTGCGCTTTGTATGGCGTGGTTGTGTCAATTCTTTAAAAAATGGTAGAAAAAGGCCATGCCAAAAAATTGTCTTATTTTGTAATGCAAATACGATGCCGCACCAAAATTATTTTACCCGTGCTGGTATTTCAAACATCGGTATTTTAATAAATTTTCTATTTGTCGAATCGATTTTTTGTACTGTACAATCGAAGAAAACAGTATCCCAGAGCAATATGGTCGAATTTTATCTTGTGGAGAACTAAGTTAATATCTCGAATTTTCCACGCTAGTAGCGAACAAAAGCTTAGTAAAAAAAATGCTTCACGAGTGTTTTGTTAATTTTAAACTTAATTGATCTTAATCATTGACTTACAAATAAATGGACGACGGGTCTAATACAAATACCACGAAAAAAGTGTCCCAAGTCAGCCTATTTAAACGTAGTGACATGTAAAGGAATATGAAAAAGCTAAAACGTTGAATTTAAATTGTAATGTCATCGCAGTACTGTCTAATTTTGCTTGCTTCGCTGTCAGTCGAACAAACGAAGACTAAAGCGTGAATGACGCTCTGTATACGATTTTAACGCCCTATAAGTTCGGACACTTTTTAGCGCGGACCCGACGTCCATATAATTGTAAGTCAATGATCTTAATGAACTTTATTTCAGTTCATTATTCAACGAGTGCGTTAAAGAAGACATCTGTTTTCGAGAAGATACTACTTTCCATTGGTTCAGATGTTACTCGTTCATTGTAGTCCACCACTTAGACGCAAGATGGCAGCACGTTGAATAAAATTTCAATATAAAATCGAAACGTAACTTGCAATAAAGGTATTGAAATTTTAACTATATAGCGACTGGGTAAAGTTTTAATTATATTAACAGTCCAGGACCAATTATTATCAAGATTTCATAGTGTTTATCATTTCTTTGTGGCGCGTTTTGGCGACTGCGGTTCTGACAGTAATCGAGGTTTAAAGCACTTCCATTGTTTGTTTTCTTCCGTGAATTTATCGATGTCGATGATGATATAATCCTAAAACCCTTTTGGCGTTAGTAAATACTTACTTGATATATTTTCGATTATGGTGATTGCTGCAGATGGCGTAGAAACGGACATGGAAAGTGATAATGAGTTTTCGGACTTTTCTGGAGCGGATGGTAGGGATGGAACCGTTCGAGTAGGTGTAAGAACTGAGTGATTGGATGCACAAATATCTTGAGGAGGCTTGAGTGTCTTATATCCTGGAGGCATTTCTATCTGTAGCAACGAAGGTGCTGTGACCATTGTTTGTGTACCTTGATTTCGAGTGCTTGTGTTGTGTGTCTGACTAGATTCTGAGGAAGTGGAGGATTGTAATGTGTATTTCGAGGACCGGAGTTCATATGCTGTAGAGGTGGTAGGTTCATTTAACCGAGTTAAGGTTTTAGTGTTATGTTTTTGGAATATAGTTTCTAATGGAGGAGGTTTAGGTGCTAAATTGATAGTATCTGCAAGTGGTGATCGACTATTTGTTATTATTGGAATAGGAGTTTGAACAACTTGGGAAGAAGATTTCAGATCATAATAGGCGTTATTAGAGATTTTTTTCTTGGAATCTGCAGTAGATACTTGTGACATTGATTTAGACTCTAAACGGTTAGAGTTATAGTATAAATTGTTATATTTATACGAGGAGGGTTGGCGTACAAGATTTATGTTTTCTATAACCGCCTCTTGAGCGCGATACGAGGGCAAAACTTCTAAGGGCAGGAGAGTGTCGGAATGAACTGGTGTGTGTGGTGGGGGTAGATGAATTCTAGATGATTGCTGCGACGGCGTTTGAGAATTTTCCTGTAAAACAAAACGGAATAAGTATTTACCATAAATATTAACGCAGAACCAACCTAAGGACTGGAGGAGGCGATGGAGGTTTGATAGGAGTGTAGCAAGGTGGAGGTCCATGGACTTTACCTACCCTGGTAGGTGACTCGGCAAAATGACTGCACCGCGCCTGATGGAAAGTGCGAATACAGTCCAGAGATGAGAGTAACGGATGGAAAACACAAATATCTTCACTCCGTCACTATCATTTTGCCGGTCTGGCCAAATGCTTCTTCACACTACGTTTGAAGGACCCGATGTGTTAGAGGGGAGGGAATACATGCGCCGGAAGTTGGTTCCACAATTTGATGGTTCGGCATAAAAACGAATTGCCAAACTTTTTAGTGCGGGACGGTATTGAACTGACCGTCCAACTGTGGCAACGCAGTCCGGCACGGGTGGTCCGCTGATGGAAAGGAGAGGAAGGGATAAGGTTGAATAACTCTTCAGAGCACTCACCGTGGTACAGGCGATAGAATACGCTAAGAGACGCTATATCTCTGCGAAGCTGTAACGACTCCGCATGTAAGAGATAAACAGCAAGAGCTGAAGCGGTAACTAATATTGTTTTTTTAGTATAAAGTTTTCGTTTCATGATATAGACAGTTTTTGAAGATTTTGTTTTTTTTGTAATATCAAATAACGGGACGAACAAGTCACGAGTCTTGGAGTAAAATGACAGTTAATTGTGCAAAAGTGTTACCCGCTTGCAGTCGATATATATTCTATCTCAAAAATGCAGCATCAGATCGATTTGCAACATTTCACCTGTAACTTCGTGCAGACCACTTTTTAAGAAATTAAATTTATTAACAGTGCCTAGTATTTATATTTTGATTGCCTGTACCTTCGTCAAGCAAAATTATTCACTATTCAAATGACATGAACCTTTATATAACACGAGGTTTCCGGACAGACTTACTGTACCGGTCAACGTAAAAAGAGAAGTGTATCGTCGTAACTGTTTACCTATGTGTGTCAAAATATATAATTCGCTACCGATTGATTTAAAAAATACGCCAAATACAATGTTTCGAAATAGGTTATCCAAATGGTTGTCTAACTGTTGTTTTTACTCAATTGAAGAATTTTTTTACTACAAAAATAATTAGGTATTTGTTTAAATTTGACATTATTGAGACTTATTATTTTAAATGTACAAGATATTTTAATAATTATGATAGATATATTCATTTTAAGGTAAATTTGCATGCTATTACTAGCTAAGTGTGAGAACCTGTTAACAGAAATATTATATATTAAGCCAACTATGTACACCACACTTAACGCGAATAAATTATTATTATTATTATTATTATTATCGACTTGACTGTTGGTTACGCTTATGAATAAGTCTAACTGTTCTGAATTATCATCGGCCATTATTTGTCCAACTGCTGGGTACAGGGTCATTTGAATTGATAATTTTTTAAACTTTATACATACGTAAACCAAAATTAGCACAGTACGTGTATAAAAAATACAAATAGGAGACATATTTTTAAGTTTTTCATTTGAATTTAATACACATAAGCCAATCCGTCTGTCGTCATTAAAATGTGTATGACTAAAATTGATTTCGATACACAGACCAACTGTCAAATTAAGAATAAGGAATACATACACAATTCAGACATTATTGGCAAAATTTTACATACTTTCACAATCCATCGATAAAATTGTCGACAACAACTACAAGACTATTTAAAATTTTGTTAAATAAACACGACTATGCTTTTCTATATCAACTGGAATGTTATTACCAATGTTCGGAAAAAGGTGTTCCACATGTATAACTACAAGGAGCAACATAGAGTTGTTAAAACTAACAAATATTAATTAATAACTATTTCGAGTTCCGGATTTCCGGAGATGGTTTTACTGCATCGTAAGACAAAACTACACACCTATGACGTCCAAGTTGAATTTTAAAGTAATTCTAATGGTGCCATGTAAAAAAATGCAGTAGATAACCGGCCTTTTACCAAAGCAAAGAATAAAAAAGTAACAAGAATGGTCACTCTCCGCCCCTTCCTAGCTTTAGATACCGCACATTAACGGAACGGCAACAAGGCTGTCAGTTATTTATTTCATTTTTTACAAGGCACCATTAGATTTAGTTTAAAATCTAATTTCGACTTCCTAGGTCAGTAGTTTGTCCTGTTCTGCAATTGGAACACCCTTTTCCGACCTATGGTTATTATAGAATCTTTGTACTAATTTTATAAACTTAATTATGAAGATTTAGTTTAGTAAACTTACAGCCATGTTTTTATGACGTTCATAGAAGTCTGAAAAAAGAGACAAAGCATCTTATTTATCAAGAAATATACTTTCACCTACTCATTAGGATGTAGTCCAGTGACTACATACAGAACTTCTGCTTTACACTAGAAACGCTTAGTTTGTTAAAGTGCTAGTACACGAACCAGCAAAATAATGTAAGGGGTGTGTGTTGGAGTGCGGGGTGAGGTAGGGGGTTTGACCTCGCCGAAGCTCTTCAACCGGTACGTGAACGAGCTGATCGTTGGACTCAGCAGTAAGCCAGTCGGATGTCGTGTCGACAGCATCAACGTAATAACATCAGTTATGCCGACGATATGGTGCTGCTGGGTCCAATGGCGGGCTCAATTGCGGAGCGCCTTCGGTTTTGTAAACAGTATACGAGCACTCACGGTCTTATAAGCAATTGTGTCAAGAGCGAGTTTACGGTCTTTGGGATCCCCGGTAGATTGATGTCTTATCCGCTCACGCGATACATGCAGCCGTAGACGCATACCACACCTAGAGCTGCCGGTGATGATTTTATACCGATTTATCGGATATCGAAGTTATAACAGGTAAAAGAACTAATATTAATTGCTACTTCGGTAACTACTCTAGCAAACCATAAAGTTTTTAATGCCTAGGTCTGTCATTTAAAAAAATAAACAACTTCAAAAATACGTCACGAGAATCGTGTGTGTTATTATTTGGGCTGGTGATTTCGGTGTTTATTTATTGAAAACATACCGTAAGTAGCGTTTTTTAAGTTTACCTTGAATATAAATGTTTATAAACTATGCTTTAAGGAGTAATTTCATGGTAAACGTTAGAACCACTCAAACGGAATATTATCATATTTATCCAAGTACACCAAAAATTTCATTAGTGCTTTTTAAGTGCAGCATTTGCGGTCTATTACTGTATTTTATTTGAGATGTTTTTGTTGGTATTACGGAGGGTATTTATTTAGCAATAGAGAATAATAATTTTTATTTATAAAAACTTGTATTTAAACTGAAAGCTTTTCTAATTTGCGAAACCAAATAGCCGCCATTTTGCGGTAGGAGGAGCGCAGCGCGTGAGCGGTTAAGAACCTATAATTAATCTTAATGAGGGTGTGAAAATTTAAATGCCTAGGACATTACTTGACGGAGGAGCTGAAAGACCAAACTGATATTGATCGGGAATGTAGGGCGTTGGCTACCAGATCTAATATGCTGGCATAAAGATTCGTCCACTATAGCGCATACCGTTAATCTTTCTACACGGGTGGTCTGTGGGTTAACCGCGTTCAATGCAACAACGGTTTCAGGATGCTGTTGGGATTACCGTGACATTGTAGCGCATCGTAGACGTTTGGTCAAGCGGGAGTAGATGACTTTTTGCTGTGATGCAAGAAACGACGGCGTTACTACTCTCTAGACTGCGTTCTAGTCCTAACAGCATCCTGAAAACGTCTGTGGCTAAGGTCGATGCGCCGATGCTTCGTCTTTTCATGAGGTTCTGGTGAGGTGATGGGGTAGTCGGCGCCTCGAGCGAAATAATGTGTGTTTTAGGTTTTGTCTTTGTATTGACTAATAACAGTCCTAAGTTAATATTGTCTGTATTTACTAACAAGTGGGCCTTGGATTATTATTTATTTTTATTTTTGTGCGCTACTTTTTAAGAGTGACCGATGACAGAACTGGTAGTAAATATGAATAAGTACAAATGTAGGTTTTATAATGCAACCGGTAACACTCTGGTCAGAGGCCCATGCAATTGTAAATTAAATAAATCTTAATAAATACGTTCCGTAGCAAGGGTGCCAGGCACGGTATGGCTGAAGGCGCGAGTTCGAATCCAGGATAGAAGGACGTATTTTAGTGTTCGATCTTTGCCTCATGCTGGAAATATTTCTATAGCCTACATTTATTTCCCTCGTGAGTTTGGCTATATTTTGTTGTTGTCTATGTGTTCGTAGCACCCGTAATACAGGGTTTCCCTAGTGCGGGCTAAGAGTGTGTGCGTTATTATTATTAAAAATCTTACTTTAATGATCGGTCATTTTCTCTCAAAGGGAACGCACGGCTTACAAAACGCAGCAGCAGCCCGATTTTCGTTTTCTTTGCGGGGCTATAACAAAAAATACTTTATATTTCGTACAAATATAACAGCTCACATCTAAGAGATGTGCCACACGATACGTTGCGTCGAATTTGCGACGCCTGTGACTATATGTTGTACTACGTTATATAAGTCAGAACGATATGCCACACCATCGAGTATATAACCAGAAACAGAGACGAAATAAGGGCTATCCATCAGTGGTAACTCATCAGGCGAATGGACCTTATATCACTTTTAAATATCAACTCTCGTTTGCGCTGAAATCACAAATTAGAAAGCTGAAATAGTACAGCGCCAACAACTGACCTGTGTGTACGTCTCCGTATATTCCAAATATATTCTGCATTTATTGTAATAAACCTTTAACAATGTGAGGCTGTTCCAATCGGTGGAGTGGGAAAAACAGCAAAACATCTAATTACAAAACAAACTTAATCACATTTCATCAGTAATTAGATAAATATTAAATAAGGAATTCGGGCTGGCTAATCCAAGCGCAGTTGTCACCGTAATGATTTGGCAGAATAGTTTTCCAACAAATTAAATGACATTTCGTCTCTATTTCTGGTTACATACTCGATGGCTGGTTCGTTCCGTAGCCAACTTGCGAGCGTTAGCCCCGGCATGGCCAGTGGCCTTACCACGAACTTTATTAAAACGAATCAATAACGAAACAGTTAAATTTAAGATCCTAAACTGAATCGTTACAATTCGTACCATGAGCTAGTTAAAACTTAGGGCCTCGACAACGTGTCTTTTTGTTAGCGATATCGCCAATGGAATAGAAAGACAATGTATGGGACATAAGCGTACGAACGATAATAACGTAAGGAACGATAAATTGGTAGCCAATGGTAATCAGTTTCTATTCTATCAAACGGAACGTCCAACTCGTACGACAACAACCATGCAAAGCGTAGCCAAAGTGGCAATTTTGACAAGCGCTTACGCTCGCTATCTATTCCATTGATCGATTACGAAGCGAACGCCAACACTTGTAGAAAACGAAACAAAATGGCGATTTGATAATCATCCGGTGAAGTTTCAATTTCAGTCAGGCGTCAAAAAAGAAACGCTTCTCGGCGGACCTTGGAGCAAATCGAATTCGAACCTTTTAGATTGGATAAACGAGCATTTGTCTCCACGTACGTGCCCATACCTCTTTGAGAGGGACCGTAGCATTTCCACTGGAAGTTAATATGAAGAAATTATGCCTATTAAATTAACCAACAACGAGATTATCACAACATAAATACTGTTTTTGTAGGTTTTTTGAACGTTGAGTTTCTTGGCGACAGGCTCTTTCCAGCAAATTGTGGGTATCACGCAACATTTGCTGCAGCGAACAACTAGTCACTGCATTAGGCAAGTTGTGGAAGCCCTCAATCATCTGAATGTAATAAGTAAATGAGTGTTCCCACAAACGCAACAAGTTAAGTCCAGAAGTGATATTTCAGTAAAATAACACATAAATGATAATGTATTTGTACCATTTCACTTCTATCAATTTTATTAATGAATTTGCAGGTTCCAAACATGATTTCATGTATCTGGTGTAATTGACGCACCCATGTGGCCATTGTAAAGTCCATGGTAGATGACCATCTTTTTTATAAATGTATATCACTCATTAAATGTGGAAATGGTAAGTTTTAGCCTATTACACATTTCATTGGTTGACAAGGTTTGCAAGTGTTTGTCCTGTGATTTTTGCACAGTTAGTTGAAGGGTTAACATAAATCTGAAATTGCACAAGGCCACATGCTGAAGTTAGATAATTATATAGTTACCTACTTTATTTAATTAGTAAATATTTAAATAGCATAGGCATCTCTGCATCTACCAACAATTTTGTCTATTTTACAGATTTGTGGTAATGTACAAAATTGAACATTTATACATAACAACTTTTTACCTACTCCATACATGTTTGTCGTTAGTCAAAACATTTAGACCTATAACAAAAACAGCTTCAAGTTTTACAAACAAATTGTCAACTGCCTGCTTCCTATGATTAATTGTTAATTTAAACAATTCTAATTGTTTTAGGTGATTCTGGATACCCACAAAGAGCCTGGCTAATGACGCCTATCTTAAATGCTGCAACGGAGTCACCAGAAGAGAATTGCACCAGGCGACATATCCAGGCCAGGAATTGTATTGAATGTTGTTTTGGTTTGCTGAAGACATATTGAAGATGTTTACTTAAGCACTGAACACTTCATTAACATCTCCAAGTCACCAGTAAAATAGTAATTGCATGTGGTGCGCTGCATAACATTGCATTGAATGCCAAATTACCCTCACCAGGTGATATGGCTGCGCAACATGATGACGAGGATCTACCAGTAGTAGCCAAGGTGAGCTGAAGCATGGCAGAGCCATGTCCAATTCTTTAGTGAATGGATTGTGATGTAGAAAATGAAAAATAATTATAAATATAATATTATAATTTCTTAACATCAAGGCCATTTTGTTATTATTTTACAAATTCACCTTAATTTTTTTTCTAAATTAGTGTTCAGGTACATACAATATTATACTATTTATTTTTCTTAATTAATAATATGGTAAACCGTATACAATATGTTTTTACAAAATACAATCAGTATTCCCTTGGTGATAATATCTATTATAATGAAGTTTCTCATAAATGTATCACCCACTTCATACATCTATTTATTCCCAGTAGGACCATGTACTTAGTGCCACGCCTACCTACTTACTAGATATTATTATAGAAAGTTAAGAGGGACCAGAGGAAAAATTCCTAATATTCGATTTGATTTTAGAGGGGTATATCCACTTTAAAGTTAAAAATAAAATATTGTATGAGTAACTACACGATATATTCAAGCATAGACATTAATCAGAAACATAAAACAATAAAGTTTCCTCGATAGATAAAAATCACGAAATGACCTCTAATTTTCACATTTTTTTGATTTATCCTCGAAATGTTACAGGTTATTAGGACAAAAGTTAGATAATTAATTATATTTATGCATGATCGAGAACTGTCACTACGGATTTTTTAAATCCCTTTAGTTTTAGAGATATTCCGCTGAAACGAATTTGGTACTTTTAATGCGCAAAATTCAACATCTCCTGTCGCATGTCACGCGAACTTCAGGCATATATTTGTCTCACAAATGTGGGCGGAGCCAACGTCAAAACTTTTTTGGCATGCCCCCTCTTAAAAAGCATAACATTTTACTACATCAATTAGGTGTCATTGCTCAAGAATTAATTTGCTTCAAGTTGAACTTCCTCGTTTAATGATGGTCTCTGGAAAAAAAAAAATTCAATATTATCTAAATGAGTTTGCGACAAAGAATTCAGATTTTGATCTAGATTAAAATGTGGTACAGTAATGATCGCAGAAGTTATGAAAGGGGATGATCTAAGATTGAATAGGAACAAATTTATAATAAAAAAGTTTTGTTCTAAAACTATGAGAAACTGGTGACAGAATATGTTGAAGGGATATAATACCTATGTAGTACTAACATTGAATATTTGCTCCTGGATACCAGCTTGACCTACTACTGCCAACATCTCTAAAATCCCTCTATTCCAAGGCAGTTAAAATTTGTCGGCTGTCTCCAGTACCCTCAGCATGTCGCCGAGAGGCCTTATAATGTTTTAGCTTTTTGTTTTCCAGTCCACACATACTTAAATTAATGCAGTTAGTTAAAAGCGTTCATGATAGTGATAAAACTCATTCGTGATATATAAATGTAAAATCAAGGAGGTGGGTTAGCTTACTTTTTCCCATTCATCGGATGGCTTTTCAACACCGCCACTCATAGATATCCACAGCCGATCACTTCTCAGGCGACCTTGAGTTTCCGGCTGGGGTTTCAAGAGGTCGCCGTGCCTGTAACATACACAGTCTTAATTTCTTTGCTTAGGTTGTACTATATCACGTCATTGTTTACGTTACATCAGAGTCAAGTGGTAATTGCATTTTAACAAGTTTGGATGAAAAAAATATGATTCCTATATTGAGTATCTTTCCATAAATTCTACAAGATCTGAGGATTGCTCTGGACTAGCTCGCGACCTCGGTTCCATTGCTAAAAAGATGAAGAAAATACTTCTAAAGTTGGAATGTAACATCACAATAAACTTTGCAAGATCTATCTTACATGAATAATAAGTGACAAAAGTATATCATAAAAGAGCTAAATATAATGTTTCTGCAGATACTTACCACTTTAAAATTTTTAATTAATAGCTGAAATCACTTCTGACTTTTAAAACTATTCTTTTTTTTATAAAAAATAAGTGCGCATTAGACCTCCATCTCACTTGATAGAAAGTGACGATGAGGTCGAGGATGTAGTAGGCGTCATTTAGGTGTGCATGCACACCTAAATGACGCCTACTACTATTCACTATCGCCTTGAAAAGGTCCAAGTTATAGCCTTCCGGGAATAGGTCTGCAGGCAGTGAATTCCACTCCTAGGCCGTTCGCCATACAAATGTGGAATATCCACAATAATGGAAAGGGGAAGGCGGAATCAAATTATGCAATTCCATCCCACACTGTCCCTGATATATCCTGTAGAATACCGATAAGCTGGCAACACTATGGCGGTGTTCAAGGCTCTGCAGCTTCGCCTCTATTAATTTCGAGTCACCTATAAGCCTCTTAGCACGCTTGTCTATTGAATCCAAAGTGGTCAGTTGGTATTTAGGAGCGCCATCCCATAAGTGGCAGAAGTACTCCATACACGACCGGCCTTGTGCTTGGTACAGCTGAAGCAACTGTCCCGGTGTGAAGTAACGCCTCACCTTGGAAAGGATGCCAAACTTCCTGGCTGCATTTTTGGCCATGGATTCAATGTATCTACCGAAGTTCAGATTGGTCCGACTAGATACGATTGGACGACAGGTCCATTCCAAGTAGGTGAAGACGGTCGGCTATCGGTATGGATATATCACGAAAAGGCGGAGTCAAGTGAAAAGGATTCGTTTTGTGGAGAATAGACACGCGCCTGCGTTTTGGTAGCATTAATTTAGACAAATTGGCATCGCCCCAATCGGAGACTGCCTTAAGTGTCAAATTCAAACAACTAACCATGGACTCTCGACAAGACTGGATTTCTTCTCCACCGGCCCTTGCATTGGTCAAGTACCTGTTCACAACTGTGCTGTCATCAGCATACCCAAAGGTACCTGGAATCAACATGTCATTTATTTGCAGCAGAAAGAGGGTTGCGGACAGTACAGAATTCTGAAGATCTCCATTCTTCAGGCATCTATCACCCGATGTTCGGAAGAGTAGCTTCTAAGATCACTCGAATAGAAGTTTTACTCAAGAAATCCGAAACCCAATTGCAAAGGAAGTTTGCTTAAAAGGCTTGCGTGGCAGACCCTGTCAAAGGCCTTAGAAATGTCTAAAGAGACTGCAATGGTTTCGCCATACCATTCTATAGTCTCGCTCCATAAGTGAGAGGCATACACAAAAAGATCCCTAGTTGATCGCCCTCTTCGGAATCCGTACTGGCGATCACTGAAGAGATCGTTGTCTTCAAGGTACGACAGGAGACAGGCTGTTAAGTACAGGTTCCATAGTCTTGCAGAGTATGGAAGTGACTGAGATAGGTCTATAGTTACAGGGTCAGCTCTGCTTCCTTTTTTGGATACTGGTTGCACATTTGCAAGCTTCCACGACCTGGGAACTACACCAGTCTCAAGTGAGAGGCGATACAGGCGTGTGAGAATAGTAGACAACTCAGGCGCACAGTTACGCAGTAATATTGCTGGAATTCCATCTGGCCCGATAGCTTTATGTACGTCTAGACTTCGCAGAGTTATGAGTACCTCTTTTTGGCGTAAGCGAACTGGTGCCATAGTGCAGCTAGCCTGAGGCAAAGAAACTGGTAGGTAAAGAGCGAGGCGAAGCGATTCGCCTTGTCTTCCACAGTATGAGCTTGCGAGCCGTCTGGCCTCAGCAGAGATGGTAATGAGTGGCTACTATAACTTTTTTCGACCGCTTTGGCCAGGGACCAAAAGGACTTGCTGCCTGCTGGAAAAGATGCTAGCTTGGCCCTTATGCGGCGCACATGTTCGAACTTGGCCCTGCGTAACACACTTTTGCTCTTCTTGGTGGCCTTATTAAGGCTTTCTTCAGATTCCGAGTATTCGGAGCTTTGCGTAGTCGAGCATCTGCCCAAGCTTGGTACGCAGACTGTTTTTGTGCTTCAGCACGACTACAGTCAGCGTTAAACCATGGACGAGCTTGGGGTCCATTGGGTTCATCGAAGTATGGTATGTAATATTCCATGCCCAATCGCAAGATCTCAACTACAGCATCAGCACAGCTCGACGAATCTCCTGAAGTAAAGAAAGCCTGGCAGGGATATGAAGCCAAAAATGGCGCATTTCGTTTCAATCTGCTAACCTGTATCGCCACACCCGTCTTGTACCAGACGTCAGACAGTGGTCAAAGTGCTCAATGGTGCGGATGGTGGTTGTGGATCACAACCACCGAGTATCGATCTGGATCAATCGTTAGCAGTAGGTCCAAGCAATTAGCCGTATGAGACTCAACATCTGGGATCCTTGTGGCGCCACTGACAAACTGGGAAAGGTTTAGCGATAACACAAGTTTTCGCGTCTCCCTCCCGGTATGATCGGTCATGTGGTATGGGAAAAACCATTCTTGATGGTGTGCATTAAAGTCCCCAGAATGACTAGTTGCGCCGCTGGATACCTGAGCTGAGCCTAATCAGACGTCTCGCTCAGATGTTGGAACAGCTTGGTCGTCTCCTGATCTCCACTGTGCGAGCGGTAGACACAGCAGTACACTATTTGCGTAACTCCTGTGTCAACCAGAAGCCACAAAACAGATAAACTCGGTGCCTCAAGGTTCTTGAGACGCTTGACATGGATGTCATCGCGAACGTACACACAGACTCCGGCACAGGGTAAAAACCTAGCTCTAGAGTATACCCGGGGTAGCTGAGGTACGCCATGTCAGTCAGACATCCGATCTGCGTCTCAGTGAGGAACAGCAGCTGCGGTTTGTCGGTTTCCAGGTGGTGGTGGACCACTTTCAGATTTGAGTGCAGTCCTCTGATATTGGTGAGGTGCACTTTCAATGGGAGAACGTGTAAATTTAATCCTTTTTTGTGGCTTTTCATTTTAATTGGAGAAGCGAATAGGCAGGAGGAAGGCAGTTGAACGAGGCATTGCGTCATGTCCAACCAAGCAGCAAGCTCACACTGCCACACGAGGGTACAATCGATTTGGAGACCGCGGGGACGCCCGAATTCTCCCGGAGATGGCCACGTGGTCCTCCCCTCCGGTAGCCAACCGGCAAGGTGGAGTATTCCGAGATTTTTCGTTGGGTGGCGGGGCAGCCTTTCACGGGTGGCTTTCCCGCTGCTTGGGCCCCCAACTCCCACAGTCGGCCAGCGGTACACCGTGCTTCGGATCCCGCTAGCCTCGAGAACCGAGTGCTCAGTGTGACATTACAAGCTACTACTCGTCGTTAGATGCAATGCAACTGTTCAGACCCGACCTCCTAATGACAACTCCCGAACACGAGCTGGAACACGGATAAACCATTTGGGGCCTCGATTGCGTCGGGAGGGTAGTTACCAGCCACGGCAGAAGCCTACCACCGGTAGTTGTTGCTCTTTAGCACCACCCAAGGGTCACTTGTAGGGTCTCGAGGGTAAACAGAAGCGAGCAACATCAACCCCCAAAACTAATATATTCCACTTCAATGCACCGCGTTTTGCTATGAACATCGATCACTTGTCAAATTCAAAGTGACGTTTGCTGTCGAAACCATAGACAATATTTTGATTTTTATCGAATTATCGAATAGAATGAGCGTTCGTCAGGCCCTTGTAACTTTGGCTACCTATGTATTATCGTTTACGTTTGTAGAAATGTAATACATTGGGAGCGATTGCCACTTGTCTGGGCCCTCCTATTCGCTTTCGTACCGCTATCCCGCGAATGAAAGACCGATATTTGTCTCTGGTTCGCTATCATTTCGTATTGCGTAATTTTTAAATGTTTATTTTAGAAAATATCACATTTACGTATAAGTACAGAACTTATTCGTATTTTCAGTGTTCGGAGTACAACTCTGCCGTCGGCTAACTAAACAGCTGCTAAGTGATTAAATATTTTTTTGAGATATCATAAAAAACCATAACTCAGTTTTATAATATTGAAATTGTTTAAGGGGGAGCATGCCAAAAAAAGTTTTAACGTTGGCTCCGCCCAAATTTGTGAAACAAATATATGCCTGACGTTCGCGTGACATGCGACAGGAGATGTTGAATTTTGCGCATTAAAAGTACCAAATTCGTGTTAGCAGAATAACTCTAAAACTAAAGGGAGTAAAAAAAATCCGTAGTGACAGTTGTCGATCATGCATAAATATAATTAATTATCTAATTTTTGTCCTAATAACCTGTAGCGTTTCGAGGATAAATCGAAAAAATGTGAAAATAGAGGTCATTTCGTGATTTTTATCTATCGAGGAAACTTTATTGTTTTATGTTTCTGATTCATGTCTATGCTTGAATATATCTTGTAGTTACTCATACAATGTTTTATTTTTAACTTTAAAGTGGATATACCCCTCTAAAATCAAATCGAAGATTAGGAATTTTTCCTCTGCTCCCTTTAAGAGTTTTAGTGGATTACAGGTGTGCGGACGCTGGTGCACGTTAAGCGGGATCCAAGAAATTTTTCTTTGTGTTCTATTTTTGCATTAATAATTATAACAAAGTAGTATAGTAATTTCACAAATATAAAAAATTGAATATCATACCAGTAAAACACCCTAAACGATTAGCGATACTATTATTATACTGGACGGTTTGAGACTATACCTGGTGCCCGTGGGGTTGTTGACTGCGAGCGTGCTGTGGAAGGAAGACAATCTATTTATTCAGGAATGTATTAGAAAATGAGCCATGTGTGAGTCAAAAGTCATTTGCAAGTTACATGGTTAAAAAACAGGTGTTATTATGTTAATGGTACTGCAGAATTCTAAGGGCAGTGTCCTTGTCCTTATTTCACTAAAACATATTAAAATAAAATTAGCATGTTCCGGTTTTGAAGGGTAAAGTTAAATTACAGGCACATGGGACTTGTCAACTTATGGCTCAGAGTGACGGACGCAGAGGGAGTGCCCCTCAGATTTTTGCAATTTAAAGCTCTGAGTGGCACTTGTTACGGCACGTGTACACGACAAGAATTTTGTCGGATCTGGTGTCTGTTGCAGACAAGAAAATGATGAGTATGTACACGATGCTTTTGAGCAGACGTGTGTAGGGTAAACGTGTCAGTGCACTTCTAGGTAGCTGTCGTTTTACTACCGACTGTGTGAAGAAATATGTTGACTACTAATAAAACAAATTGGTGATTGCAAATTATATGTATAGAATAATAAATATTTCCCTCCATGCTTCAAAAGTACGTCGTTTATCTTTATAAATCTCTAAGGTTTTGTCTCACAATACGGGTCGTTCCTCTACTAAACTTATAAATAAATTATGCATTTTATTAGTTGTAATGAAATTAGTGGTGCAACAGTGGTACTTTGCAAAATCAGTCCACGCGCATAAACATTCGTATACTGACAATGCGCCCTATGCAATAGCGGCAGAGCGCTTCGCGTCGGGGATAGACAAGATTTTTTTCTTGTCCGGCGTCGAGGCTGTGTACACAGTTCGTGTGTAGAAACGACATGAATTCTTGCATAGACCCGGCAACTGTTCTTAGCGTGTACACGCGCACTTATGGACAGGCGTATAGCTTACCATTAACCGCACGGCTTGTTCGTCCCGTCACTTGATATTATAAAAAATAAAATAAAATAAAATTAGGAATTATTAATAACAAATTTCTTAGTGGCTATGGTTTAGAATTCCATGCTTGTAGACTTGTTGTCTATAGCTAGAACCTTTTTGAGAAAACCTAACCTCCCTGAGAAGAACGAGCAAGAAACTCTAGGGATTGCTCTTTTCAAATAAACTTAAATGCTATGGAATACAATTTGAATCAAATTTGTGTGGATTCTGGAGCCATGTCGACTTTCCATACATCTTTATCTAACACGTAGTCTTCAATTTTGTAATACAATTTTTCGATCAAAATATTTTTAATGTAGTTTTTAAACTTAATATATGCTCCGGAATCTTATTGTAAAAACGTATACAGTTTCCCATAATTGAGTTGTTTACCTTGGTTAAACGAAATCGTGGTACCATGAGTTTGGA